CATGCATCCCTGTGCATATTGTACCATTATTTGTAGTAACCAAAATATAGAACCAGCCGAAATGTCCATCAGTGAGTGAATGGATAAAGAAGAGGTGGGGTATATATACAATGGAATATTACTCCGCCATAAAGCAATCCTACCATTTGGAACGACACGGATGGAGCTAGAGGGCATTATGCTAAGTGAAATAAGTCAGCCAGAGAAAGACAGATACCACATGATTTCACTCATATGTGTAATTTAAGAAACAAAAATGAACAAACAGAAACCGACTCATAAATACAGAGTACAAAGTGGTGAATGCTAGGAGTGGGGGGTGGTGGTGCGGTGGAGGGGATGGGCAAAACAGGTGAAGGGGATTAAGAGGTACAAACTTCCAGTTAGAAAATAAGTAAGTCCCTGGATAAAAAGTACAGCATAGGAAATACAGTCAATAATATTGTAATTACTCTATAAGGTGGCAGATGTTAACTACACTTATCATGGTGAGCATTTTGTAATGCATATAATTGCTGAATCACTATGTTGTATACCTGAACGAATATTATATGTTGACTATACTTGTTTCTAATTTAAAAAAAAAGAAATAAAAACTCTGTATTGACCTTAGCGTGAATTATGGGTGTTCTTTAGAGGGTGTCTTTTGTCATTTCCTCACTCACAAACTTCTCAAATCCCCACCCTGTCATTTGACTTAGGACCAATATATCACAACGGTCGCTAAATCCATCTGCTGGTTTATTTAGAACACCGGCAGATTTTAATGACATAGTTAAGAAAGCATTTTTAAAAGCAATACCTGCTCTCAATTTCCCCAAATCTCTTGAATGCATTACCATTACAAATGCAAAAAATATATACCTACGTTAGAAAAAAAAATAACACAGATACAAACTAGATGTCCTCCGATTATCCTTATTCTTTTTTCTTTAAGTGAGATCGAGCCCCACAGTGGGCTCTGAACTGACAGTGCAGAGCCTGCTTGAGATTTTCTCTCTCTCCCTCTCTCTCCCTGCCCCTCTCCTGCTCACACACACACACACACACTCTCTCTCTCTCTCTCTCTCTCTCTCTCTCTCTCTCTCTCTCTCAAAATAAATACACATTTAAAAAAAGAACGTGGTCAGACTAAACATTTATTTATAATTTATTTATAATTTATATTTCTTATAAAAAATGAGGCAAATGAAAAACCAAGGCATTATGATTTCATAGTAGATCATGTGCCCCAGTGTGTGTGGCAGAAAAATGACAGCCTGAGTTCCTTGACACTCTTCCTTTGGAGAGGAGTGTCCCCACCCCACCAGCTCTGGCCAATGGAGTATAACATAAGTGATGTGAGGCCAGTTCCTGGACCTGACCTTTAAGAAAGGGGTACTTCTTCCCTGCATTCTTAGAATCCAGTCAGTCACCAGGTGAGAAGACTACCATTCGACCATCTTGCCATGAGGAGCCCAAACCACATCGAGAAGCTGTAGAAAATGAGACACTGTGTGGAGAAACAGAGACTGAGGAACATGGAGACGGGTGCATGAAGGCACCATGGACGTAGATTCTCCAGCTCCAGATGCCCCCCTGTGGAAGCAAGACGACCCGCCCAGCTGAGTCCTGTAGAAATTCCTGACCCACACACAACTGTGCATAAAATGAAATGGTTGTTTTAAAGCCACTAAAATGTCTCCTTTTATCTTGACTCCACCTCCTTTGCTTCCTGGAAATTTAAAATGGAGGACGGGTCAGATCTTAGTGTGTTTCTGGAGAACACGTAAACCACTTTCTTTGTAATAAACAAGTAGACCTCAAATCTCTAAATAGAATGCTGGCAACAATTTCGGGCATTTTTTTCAATTTCCCAAATGATCCTATTTTTGATGAAGCAAACAGTTATAATTATCTATCAAACTCTAGCTAACTAAAATGGACGTAACTCATCCATTGTGATTGGGACGCCATTAGGACGTTAATTAATTTAATTAAATGTTATAACATAAAGTTAGTCACATACATGTCTTCACTGCTGAACTAAAAACTCCTTCAGGGCACGAACAATGTCTTCTGCATTTCTGGTATTCCACCAAAGGCCGTACATTTGGCATGACGATAATACAATCTACCATTAGAAATTAATTATTATATAATTAATTTATAATATATTATAATATATTATATTATATATATTATATTATATAATATATATTATATTATATATATTATATATATTATAATAATATTATAATATATAATAAATTAATTACATTCAGCATCACCTCCCTCCAGTCTTCGGTTTGAAAGCCCTAAAGCTCTTGACTTGATTTCTGGGTTGCCATAGAATCCTCAGTCTCAGTAGTTTTCCAGGGTGATCTAGTCAAACCTCATTATTTCACAGATGAGGAAATTCACCAAGAGGTAAGTGATTTGTTCACATTCAAACAGTTATTTAGCATATAATAAAGCCATTACAAACTTAAAATTACTTCCTTTAACAGATCGCTGGTGGAGGGACCAGGACAGCTGTAGGGTGTTGGAGCTTCTGAAACGTGAAAGGACTGAAGTGTAGGGAACTGGCAAAAAAAAGGTAGTTGCAGAGACAGGAGAATCCAGTTACACTGTAATCCATCGGGAGCACAAACCAGTGTGGGCCAATATCGCTCACAGACTTGAAGGGGAAAAAATGCGTAAAGACAGAAATGTGAAGGGGCTGCACAGTTATAAAAGGCAATAAAGATTTCTTTCTTTAATTAGTCATGTCAAGTAAATCATAAAACCAGATATCTCTGCACTGAGACTCTTCATTAACAGCTGTTTATTGTGCTGTGAATTATCGCAGGGTAATGTATGCAAGATGCTAACTTGATGTTTGTGCTTCTGCTTCTCAGATGAACTCGGCTGTCGAAAACGGAGAGCAAACCAGGACGGCAAAAGCTGTCAGCAGATGTGGGAGAGCCAAGTGTCTCTCCACCTTACATTTCCGTTGTGTGGGTTTTGGTAAAAACAGATCAGGATAGTTTAAAAATTAACCAGTTGACAGTACAGGTGTAGATGGTGGGTATGCTTTCTTGAAAAGTCTAAGAAAATCCAGCCTGGGTTTTCTCTCCAGGCCAGAATCACCCCAGGATGAGAGCAAACCTGAAGCCCATTTCTCTCCATGCAGAGCCCAAGACGGACTCAGAATGGTCTATAAGAACACTGAACGATAGGGCTCACGCACAAGAAAGGAAAGTGGCATTTATTTATTTGTACTCCATGCTAATAACAAAACAGCAAAATGAGACTGTCCAGCTCTACGTGGAGCCCGAGGTACGGAAAACTCTTCACGCCCTTAATCGAGGTATAAGCCCCCGTGCTTGGAGATGCCACTGTGGAGAGTAAATCCCAACACGTTTGCTTATCAACTCATGGTGGCAATCAACCTTATTGAGCATACAGCATGTGCCAGAAACCACGGAACGCACACATTCTCATGCGTCCTCACCACAGCCCCCAAGGTGGGTATTGCTTTACTTTTAAACATAAAGAATTTCACGCTCACAAAGTTCAAGTATCTCTCTCAAGGTCACATTAGTGACCTATGCCAGTACGTCCGCCCAGCAATTCTATAAAGCAGAGAGTGTGATCCTTATTTTAATTATGAGGTAACCGACTTGGAAAGCAGATTATAAAACTCAAAGGAATAGAGATAAGGGTGGGAGACTGGGATTCAACTTCAACAGAGCTGTTTTTTCCACTGTGGCCTTTTCTCCTCAATATGTACCTTATTCTCGCTATTTTATCCTTCAGTTGAATGTCACTTGCACACTAATAATAATTTAAGAGCTTACCATCCAAAAAAATCTAGGATTCCCCACAGCTCAAGACTGGTGTTTACTACCCACGTTATCACAAGTGATAAAACACAAGGTGTTCCCAGGGGACTAGAAAGCACTCCTACAGCATCCTTTTCAGTATCAGCTAGAGCAGGCTGGCTCACGCTGTGTAAACAACAGCCATGCAGTCTTACATAGTTTAACATAACACATGCATAGTCTGGCCGTGGGCCCAGGCCATCCTCCATGGCAGGTGTCCTCCATGCAGCGACACGGTGATCCAAGTGGCTTTGATCCGGAGGCTCCTCTGTCTCAACATGAGGCCTTCACATTCCCCATGGCAGGGGAAGAAACTGCCCAAAGAGTCCCGAGGGCTTTTCACTGTCTCAGCCTGGGATTGGCATGTGCTCCTCCTTTTCACATTTCATTGACCAGCATCCATGGTCTGCCTCCACCTAACACAGGAAAGACTGGGAAATGTGATCTGCTGTGTGTCCAAAGAAGAGGAAAATAAAAATGAAATTTGGTGAACACATGGCATCGTCTCTGCCACATTATCCTGAAGAAGTAGATCCAGACAACACACACACACACACACACACACACACACACACACACACACACACACAAATAGCAAAAGGTTAGGAATTAGCAAGTGAGGCCACAGATTTAGAATTGAATAAATTTTTCTGGACAGAGAGAGACACAAAACCTCATTACAATTTATTAATTCAACTGAGAGGAGGAAAGAGTTAGAAACTACAGATACCAGGAAACAAATTGTTTACATATGGTGATTAAATAAAGGAAAACTTACATGTAAACATGCAAAGTGACCTTAAGTATTTTATTTAAATGTCAAAAGTGAAAGAAGGGTTTAGGACTGTCTTGCTCTAGAGCAAGACTTTATGCATCTTTTAAGTCATTTACCGTACAACCCAATTTCCCAAATGCTATCGACTATCTCCTTTTTCATATCGTTCAACAAGGTTCTACGGCAAGGCTGAAGAAATCCAGGGACAGTCCCAGCCCTCTGAAAGAGGACATTCTGATAGATGAGAAAAGCAGACGTGTCTGAACGAAGAGAACAAGGTCATTTGCGATGGTGTCTCAAAGCAAGCCACGAAAACATCAGGCCTCAAAAGCATCCACTTGGGGCTCCCCAAAGAAGTACACACCTTCCTGGTGTTTTGCGTAGCTTCCAACACAAGACCCATTTCTCCTGGTTGCTCCCTTTAGTTTCTGCCTGGTGGTGCGGTCCTTCATTCTTCCACGCTGGCTTGGACGTCCCTGTGAAATACTCCAGAGAGGAATGACGCAGAACGAAGAAAGTAGATCACAGAGGCTCGTCTGCCCACTCATCACATACGTCAGCTCTAGCAACACACAGAACCTTCAAGATGAGCTGCTCTCCGCCTCTGTCAGCCCACCTTGCAAGTAAATGACACCTGCCAAAGACTATGAGGAAACTGCCTCTTCCTCACTTGGTCCTAAGGAACATTCTTAGATGTGAAACATAAAGACAGCGTAGGACAGAAATGTACTGATTAATTTCAATGAGCCTTTCAGAAGTCACAGTCTATGCTGAGCAAAGTGATTTTCAGCTGACTTTATCTTATTAGTGAGGACTCTGGGGAAATTTGGTGGGGTAAATCCTTTTCTGCATTACCGTGCAGAGGAAACAGTTTTCATCTTTAAAGCCCTACAAGCGCACATATTTTTTTTTTTTCCCAGAGCGTAAACCTGGCCTCAGAGAAAGTTCTACTTGGAGAAATCTCATTAATTCCAGTGGTCTGGTTTGCCCACAATTTTATGATTCATTTATTTCTGCTAGTTTCTTCCTTAATGTTAGAAAGAAAGAGAGAGAGAGAGAGAAACAGGGAGAAAAACGGAAAAAAAAAGCCCTACCTTCTCCTTTCCCCCAAAACCAACATTTTCAGGACAAAAATAAATTCCATTCTCATGTGATTAATTATGGATCAAACCATGATGTCTTATTTTCTTTTTCATGAAACAGGAAGATAGGAAAGCTTAGGAAGTTGTCTTGCTTTGTAAATTAATTGTATCCTTTTGGAGGAGTTTTTAGTTACTAAAAGGCCCCCTTTCTAAGTAATTTGGAAGTGGAACTTTGGGAATATTTTTCGTCCTTTTACTGGGGTGAAAGAAAAGCAGGGGCGAAGGGCATAGAGCAGGCATTCTCTCTGCATGCAATTTTATACTTTTTCCTCCCTCTCTGATAATAACCCAAATTCATCTAACTGCCAGGCGTTTGTGGTTAATGAAAGGATATAACTGGAGAGTCTGAGTACCGTTGATCCTTGAACAACACAGAGGTTGGGGCGCTAACCCACGCAGTCAAAAAAACCACATATCAGTTTTGACTCTCCCATAACTGAATAGCTTACTGTTGGCCAGAAGCCTTGCTGATAACATAAAGTTGATTAATACATACTTTGCATATGTATTATAGACTGCATTCTTACAATAAAGTAAGCTTGAGAAAAAGAAAAATTATTAAGCAAATCATGAGAAAATACATGTACAGTACTGTATTCGTAAAAAAAAAAAAAAAAAAAAAATTCACAAATCCCTGAAGCTCAACCCCCCTGTTGGACTCTTACAATGCCTTCAGGTACTTTATTATATTCCTTATTAAATTCAAAAGAGCAACTTTCTTCCAAATGTCTATAATCTTTACTATCTCTTTTCCTTCATTATTATCTCAATTATCACTGTATGTTAGAAAGATTCTTAATGATGCCTAATTACATGATGGATGCATTAAACAACATCATGCTTATATTCAAATAACTTAGTTGGTATTACATTCCCCCTAAGGCCACTGCCACCAGGCTTTGTTTCAGATTTTCTAAATTATTGCAATGATATAATTATCTCTTACACTTTTTCTATTTGTAATTCTCCACCTACCTAGAGTTGAGAAAGGAAAAAGAGACACTAGGTAATATATTGCTTGATTTCGTGTCATATAATTTTTTTAAGTTTTATTCTAAGTAGGCTTCATACCCAACAAGGGGCTCAAACTCACGACCTTGAGATCAAGAGACGCACACTCTATTGACTGAGTCAGCCAGGCGTCCTCCTTGCTGTTTAATATTGACATGCACATAGAGGGTATTACAATCATTGATTACGATGATCATTATGGACTTTCTTTTATGCATGTAAAGAAATAACTCAAAAAAATAAATAAATAACTCAAGATTCTCATTGCCATCTCTGATATCGTATGAGCATTGCCATTGTGACTGTAGGACAAAATTTACACTTTGATGCTGGCTCCGATTGGCTGCCCCAGTCAGGCTCAGCCTCTTTGTGTCTAAGTAACTTGTAAATGCAATTGCCTTGCCTTGTGTGCAACAAAGCCAGACCCAGGGGGATTTCTAGACCAAAGACCATGCCTTGGGGCTTCAAAGCACTTTCCTCCTACCCTCCCCCCCCACCAAAATCCTTTCCAATAGGAGCCCCAGTGCCTTTCACTACACAAAGCAATCCCTAGCACAGACTAATTGTAACCTGCTCTCTCTGGCTGCAAACAGAAGGTTTGAGAGAGGCCCAGTGGACTCTAGAAAGACCCCTCTTGAGTCCACATGGATGCAAAAAGCGTTCTGAGGTTTCTCAAATACACTTAGGTGTCATTTTAGCCATGTTCCAAGCGCCAAACTAAGATACAGAAAAAGACAGACAAAGTCTTGCCTTGATGCTATGTATAATCCAGTAAGGGAGAATGCATTTACCAAGTAATCTCAGCACCGACGAAGTCTTACGGTAAAGTTGGGGGGAGCCCTGCGTAGTTCTGTGACAACAAACACCTGATGAATGGGAAGGTACCTGGGGGTTCTTCCTGCAGATAACAGACTCAAGTCTGGAAGGACATGGAAATCCAGTGGAGAAGCACTCTGGGCGGAGGGAACAGCACCGCCTGAAGACATCAAGTACGAGAGATGCTAGTGCCTGTGACATAATTCTGTATCATCAGTCCTTAGAGGAGGCACAGTCCAAACAGGAAAAGTTTTTGCATGGTCTGCAAACATTTTATGCTTATTCTTTATTCAACAGAAAGCCATGGATAAATGTTGACAGAGGAATGAGATGATCAGGAAGAATCATTTACGTTTGGTGTTGGGTAGATTAACTCAACAACCAAGTTTTAGAAGCCTACTGTGTGTCAGGCCCTCTAGAGGAAGTTATAAATATTAACATGAGCTAGATCTGTTCAGGCCTTTCCGTCGCTTCTAGTCCAGTCACTGTAGGCAAAAGCATGAAGGAAAGGAGGAGTCAGAAATGGACGCAGAGTTTCTGACTCGGGCAGCTGGGTGAGCACAGTGGTGCCGTTTGCAGAAATGGGGCATGGAGGGAAGAAGGTAATATAATGAGTTTGGGACATCTTTTCTTTAAAGGGCCTACCAAGGAGCTAAGGGGAAATGTACAGCAGGTACAACTCACACCGGAAATATCAGTTTGGAGTCATCGGCATCTAGGTGTTTGTGTAATCAGGAGTTTGGCCAACTGCAGCCAGGAGACCACATCCAGACCAAAGCCTCTTTGTGTACGGCCCTCAGTCACTACTCCGTGCACTAACGCTGCAAGCCACAGTCCCAATTTCTCCCACCTGCAGCGCCTGCCCTGGGAACAGGGGCCACCCACCCACCCATCCCCATCCCCGGGGCACCACACACTCCTGCCTGCCCACCAGGCCCGACCCACCAGAGCCAGAGAACGTCTCCAGCTGAAGGCAGGAGTGCCTCAATGTAAACAGCGAACAGGACCACAGAGGGGCAAGCGCTTCCTCTTTTATCCTCTACGTCCCTACCTAATATATGCGATTTTGATCATAGTGCACATCGAAACCTAAATCATTCACTATCTGGCCCTTCAAAAGAAAAAAAAAAAGTTTGCCAACTCCAGGTTTGAACTGAATTAGGAGGGGGGCCTGGGTGGCTCAGTCAGTTGAGCATCCGACTTCGGCTCAGGTCATGATCTTTCAGTCTGTGAGTTCGAGCCCCGCGTCGGGCTCTGTGCTGACAGCTCGGAGCCTGGAGCCTGCTTTGGATTCTGGGTCTCCCTCTCCCTCTCTTCCCTGCCCCGGCTCACACACTGTCTCTCTCTCTCTCAAGAGTAGAGATTAAAAAATAAATAAAAATAAACTGAATTAGGATACTGAAGATAACTAATCTTTGTATGTGATGCCACTAAAATTGAACTCCGATTAACAGACATAATCTCAGCCTATGCAGAGGTTGTAAACCGGAAATAATGACAACTGAACATGACATTCCACACAAGGCCTTCACTCCACCCCCCTCTCCTTTCTAATCTGGAGAAAGAAAAATAAAAATTAATCAGGATAACCGAATCCCTCCTTGAGGATAACTGTAAGATAACTTGTCCTCGATGCTTCATACTTTGGGTTGAACGTCTCTCGGAGATTTATTAGTGCACATTGCTTTCCATTCAAGTGAGTTTTTAAATCATATTGATGAAGTTTTCGGGTGATATTGGGCTGGTCCAGGGCCGAGGGCCAAGAAAAGAATTCTTGAAGACGTCTTTGGTGCAAAAAGGGGATTTTATTAAAGCACGGGGACAGGACCCGTGGGCAGGAAGAGCTGTATGGGGTTGTGACGGGTAACTCACTATATACCCTCAGATTGGGAGGGGGTGAGGGATAGACTGAGTCTCTAAGGTATTTTGGAAGCAAGGTTTCCAGGACCTTGAGGGGCTAGCTGTTACTAGGGAAATGCCACTCACTACAGTTTAACAAAATCTCAGTCATGAGACCTTTCAGATGCATACTGGGGGGCCATAAGCTTCGAGTATGATTGCCAGCGTCTACCTTACTGCAGTTGAGATAAAGGAAGTATACTCACAGGATCCTCGAGGTTCAATGTTAAGCTAAAGTTCTCTTTTGCATCCAGGAAAGTGTCATCATTGAGGCAGCTGAGCTCCTAGAGAGAGGTCACTGCCTGTTTCAAGGATTTGTCAATGGGCTAAAGGCAGTAAGGGAATTTAATTTTTCATCTGCCTTAGTTTCCCCCATCACCATGGCCAGCACTGACACCCCTTTCCTTTGTTCTTGGGCAGCCAGGCGTTTCCGGGGACTGTCACATATACTCCACCTGGGGGAGGGGACGGGGTGCCAGCCTGTATTCTGTCCTCAGCTTGCCCCACGCTCCCTCATCACCATGAGTATAGCAATCCACTTGTAAAAGCAAGAAATTGAGATGCCGTGTCTTTGGCCACATAACAACCTGAAAAGTTAAAAACTAACCGGTTGTGTCT